GACTCAATGACAGACTTTACGATACAACGCACACGCGTCAACCATTCGGCCACCCAACCCCTTGGTTACGATAGTCTAACATAATTTCAGAGATTTTGCAATTGTTTTGGGTGGGTTAAATAGATTTTCTAGAGACTAAATTAGATAATTGTCTGCCATTTATGGATATAATATGGACAGTAGGCCTACGTAAATCTTCATACAGTGGACATTCTAGTAAAAAATGGACGTCAACTTCAGCTTTGTCTGCCTCCGCCCACAAAATAACCCCCATAACAAGCTTATATCAATATAACAAAACCGTAATCCGGGCTATTCAAGAATGAAATTACCATTTGTTTCCCAGGATATTAAAAACATTCTTATCCTCAACAACCATTGTAATATGCTAATTAAGATAACGTGTAGCATAATTACACCGCGTTATGAGATTAATCCCAATTAATTCTCCCGTGCAGAGTTATTTTTTTAAATGTTACATTCCTTTCATGGTTTTTGGTGTTAATACTAACTGTTAACCCTTTAAGCTGCCCCCACACACCTATATCAAAGTATATATTGAATAACGTTACACGGTACATTATCACTATTACGATAATTAACCGGTAATTGGGCAGTATTAATAAGTTTCAAGGCGAAGATTTAACAGAAATTATCCCTCGTGGAGTCCGATTGAAACAATTGATATATGGCCGTTTTAGTTTTTGTAAGCTATTCAAGGGACGGCTTAATCGATTAGCAACGATTATAGAAGAATGCAACCACTTAACGATGGAAAGTTGCGAAAATAAAAATGGTTTTCGATTCTCCGTGTTATAAATCACACAATACGTACTAATTGGATCAGCCTATTGTTATTTAGTCTCTATCACCCAGAAAAATATTCTACGTTGAAGACTAGTAGGTTCGGGGTGACCGAGACTAATTGTTATTTAGTTGAACTTTAAATTAGAAGCCAGACAAATTGTCAGACGGGATAATTCATCATGCCGTGTCCACCTCTTTGAAATTGACGTTCTTTAAAAATGACAAGATTGCTAATTGTTTATTTCAATGGGGGTAAATCTTCGTTAAACACTTTCAGTAAATAGATTAATATTGTTTTGTATTTTTAAAACAAAGGGTTTGCTACTGACTGGCGGCGAGTTCCTTGTTACACACGAATAGCGATTATCACTATTCCTTGTATCTTGTACAAACAGTTCGGTTTAATGAATGAATGAATGAATGAAATGGGGTTTAGTGCCCAACCTTTCTGCTCCCCTAGGCTAATGAAGATGCCGTATAATTGGGGCTAATGAAGACACGGTACAGTTTGGTATGAGGGTAGGTTAACGCGTGCGCGTTGCATCATAAGATCTGTCATTGGGTCAAGTGGCGTGGTTTCAATTCGCCACTTGTACGTGACAAGGAGTAGGGTCGCCTGTCCAACCTCGTGGGTTTTCTCCGGGTACTCCGGTATCCTCCCACTGCTAAAGACCCCTACGCACAAGCGAATTATTGAAATAAAATTGAACCATATGTTAGTCCTGAAATGACCTAGTTTGTGTCGAGTGGACGTTATCCCGAGGACACGGTGTATACAGGCTGCACACACTGAGCCAAAAATCAAATAATATGTCATTTTAATTTAATGACAGACGTTCAATATTATCGTCAGCTGAATTCATTTTAAAGCTGTGTTGAAATTACAAGGTCCGTGTTTTTCCATTGCTAAGCCAATATTGAGAAAGTACCGTGTGATTCAGTGTGGACGTCGAATGGCGCCGATCAGCAAACACACGACCCTCTATCCAAATTTCATGTTTTTGTTGAAGAGGATAATTCCCCCATCTTTAAACACGGGTTCAAGAGACATTGTGTGTATAAAATAGGTGATGCCTCTCGTCATATTTTTAGGGGGGTTGGATGGCTGAATGGTTAGCGTGCGCGCGCTGTATCATAAAGTCTGTCATTGAGTCGACTGGCGTGGTTTCGAATCCCCGGTTGTACGTGACAAGGAGTAGGGTCGCCTGTCCAACCTCGTGGGTTTTCTCCGGGTCCTCCGGTTTCCTCCCACTGCTAAAGACCCCTATGCAAGCGAATTATTGAAATAAAATTAAACCATATGTTAGTCCCGAAATGACCTAGTTTGTGTCGAGTGGACGTTAAACCCCATCTCTCTCTCTCGCCATATTTGAGAGGGGGGCGGGTGGATGGCCGAATGTTTTTTCTCCGGGTCCTCAGGTTTCCTCCTACTGCTGAAGACCCGCACGAGCAAGCGAATTATTGATATATCTTTGATCCAGAAACACAAAACTTTGCACATAGTTTCATATTGAGGTATTTGATACAGTAAAACAACAAAAGATTTATAAAAGGGCTATATTTCAGTTAAAATAAGGCGAACAATTTTGAGTAAATTCTTAATTTAAATCTGAGAATGCTTTGTGAACTCGAGGCCTGGTTTGTGTCGAGTGGACGTTAAACTCTCTCTCTCTCTCTCTCTCCCCACAGTAACGTTATAACTTTAAGTATTACAAAAAATTAATAGTTTATGTGCCCTCGGGACCTTTTTTTCTGTAAACCCATGACGATACCCTTGACTTGGTATAGTAAGCGCCAATTAAGGTCCACTTTACAAGTACGTATGGTGGGCAGAGCCGGATTAAGACCCACAGAGGTCCTAAGCACTTAAACGATTTTGTTGCCCCCCCCTCCCCCATATATAAATAATTCAAAGCATATACAACCGTAAAGCACGTGATTAGATATTTGCTGCGATAAAACAGTAATAAAAGACAAAAACAATGAAAAACTAATTGAAAGTCCTTAATTAATTTTTAAATTAAATATTTTAAATTTGTCATCTAACGTCCACTCGACACAAACTAGGTCATTTCGGAACTAACATATGGTTCAATTTTATTTCAATAATTCGCTTGAGCGTAGGGATCTTTTAGCAGTGGGAAGAAACCGGAGGACCCAGAGAAAACCCACGAGGTAGGACAGGCGACCCTACTCCACCCACGTACAACCGGGAAATCAAAAACACGTCATTTCTCTTGATAGACCTTATGATACAGTGCGCACGTGCTAACCATTCGGCCATCAACCCCCATCCCCATAAGAGAAGAAAACCAATATCAAATATTTTCTTGTGTGATAACTCTCTTTCTTCTTTTGAAAACGACCAATGGTTAGAAGAGAAGAGGTGTGAAATCATGCTGGGCACGCTTTGTAATATTTGAGAGAATTATTGGACACTGTTATCGATTGACATACATGTATTTTGACAGCGTGTCGCACGTAGGCGAAATCGTTATTTACCCTGTGAGAGGGACGATTTGACATAACTTTTTTGGTTCGCTGTTTAAAGATTTGATTTCAGCCAATGACAAACGACAAATTTCCATTTAAACCCAAACAAAAAATTATTCACATTGATATCGTTTCAAGTGCTTCGTGTTCAAAACTATTAAAGACATGGAAATATTAACGACAGGTTATACATTCACGTACGTATACACAAATAATTATGACCACCCCGACGATAATCTTTTCAAATAACACACAAAAAACTTTAAATAAATCTGTTAATTAAGTTTTTCGGTCAACAATTATACGGTGTTACTAGTCAGCGATATTTTTGATCCCTCGAGGCCAAAACAAATGATGTATAAGATATGATTGAAATATACATGAACACGTCATGAAATATGTACTAATCAATTAACCCATAAAACACATATTATGACGTGTCACTCATACATCGATGACGTAATCAAAATATTGTTCAGTCATGTAAAGGAGATATTTTTACAGGTGTAAGAATTGAATGAGCGCACTATTGGCTGTATAATAACAACTCACACATCTAAATGTCGTATTTTAATTAGTTTTTACATACAATAAAACAATTGACTCTAGTCTGTGATTGACTCTTGCCTGACAAAAACAAATTAGGTGTCAATTTTACTATCTTAATAAAACTTGAAACGTGTCTTTGAGATGGCACCTGCCACCTCCTCCATGGCTGTCACAGAATGTCACACCGCTTAAAGTTATGAAAACATAATGACAAAAATACCCACATTAGTTTAATTCAATTGATATGATTTTATAAAGAAAATGAATTTAGTATGCCAAAACATTTAACGTTTAATAATGTTTTTTGAGAAATGTTTTATGAAACGTTAATTTTGATGAAGTCTGAAGACAAGATAATTTCCTTAAAAGTAAACAAAAATATATACCAATGCCTCCTCTCGGGTCCAGATTTTTTTTTTCTATCAAAATGTCAAATTTGAACCATATTATATTCTGGAGCCAGTTGCTCGTCAAACGTACAGGTAAAGTATTAAGGGGAAACAACTCCGCCGATCTTATTATTCAAACATCACATTTTCATCGGATGGAGCGTCAATTGAAGGTGAATTTGCTAATCTGCAGCCGTTTTTCACGAATAATTTTGATTTATTTTGTATTCATATGACTATTAGGCTACACATTTTCTTTCTTTTTTTTTTTTAACAAAACATCTTTAAGAAAAACAATATTAATTTATTACGACTTTACTGCGCAAAAAAACTTATGGATTGATATGACGTATTCAATATCGGCCTTTTCTCAATAAGTTGCACCTATAGATATTACTCAATTTGAATAAATTTATAATAATTTATGCACACATTTAAAATACAACAAAAAGTGTATAATATTAATAGGCCTAATATGCGGCGTTTTCAACCAATTTGGGCTATATTTAACTTTATTACTTTCTTTTCTACAAACGTTTATGCACAGCTTTTTAATAAATCAGTTTTCGAAATCATTTTAAATCGGTTTTGCGTCAATAACATGGTTTCGGCTTACCGAGTTAAACTTCAATAACTTTCTCGCACCTGTAGATAAATATAGTACTTATCAATCAACTTGTGGGGCACGTGAGTCATTCATGTGACGTCACGACAGTCGACCAATCAGATTTGATGTTTGACAGGTTGAGGTTGTTTGGCATGTCAGCCTTCAGTCAGTCGTATGTTTAGTTGTGTGGCGAACGGGACGTGATGTTGTGTCGGAAAAAAACTTTTTAGCTCTCTCTTAAATTACATTTTGAGCAACAATATTAGGACATTTGGAAATAGTAGAGTACCACGTCAAGTTTTTAAGTTTGGATTTTATTAGCAGTCGACTTTACAAGAGTGACTCGTGTAGTCGTGGATATTATTGTTGTGACAAGACTTATCGGAAATTTTTGTTATACCTTGCTGAGCTCACTCAGGTGTGAGGACTGACCGCTGTGCATATGTCGTTACAGACTGTCAGGTGTACGGTAGTAATATATCGAACATCCAGAGAACGGATTTAACCTTCGAAGAGTATTTTTTGGAACTTAAGATGCCACCTCAGACAATGATGGACCACAACACTAATTTATTACCCGAACCCGAGAACTCGAACCCTAATTCACACCCTGTCAAATGTGTTTTGATTGGCGATGGGGCAGTAGGGAAAACTTCTCTGATTGTTAGTTACACAACAAATGGATACCCTACGGAATATGTGCCTACGGCGTTTGACCACTTTTCAGGTAATTGTCATTGAGCTGTCACCATTCTAAAAGATGCACAAAGGGAGTTTTTAGCAGATTGAATGAAAAATGATGATTGCGTAATAATTTTATCACTCTGCTCCCTAATAGCCTTTTGTAAAACTTTGACAAAAGCTACCAAAAGCCTCCAATTTGATACCATAAAAAATGTTTTTAGATCTTTTGTACGGTTCTCTAATCAAAGCAAAACCAGTTAATCAAAGTTATTGTCCAATGAACACATAATAATAATACTTATACCAGTAACAAATAAGTGTATCTTTACTTTAAACATTTTTCTTAATTTCATTTATTAAGCAGCCTACATCAACAGTTTACTGACTTTTAGATGTTAGTTTTAAAAATATAATATAAAAAAAAATATATTTTAATATTTCTGATTTCTGACTGCAAGAAAACTAAAAATTTAGGGCAGATTGTTGTAGGACAGAAAATAAAAACTAAAAAGTCAGGAAATTCCTGGTGTAAAGTCTGCCAGAAGTGCAAATGGCTTGTACTGTTTTTAAAACTTGTGTATTATAAACAGTTCAAGTTTTGCCAAGGAAAGGATAAACTGTTCTAGATATACAGCCTTTTGATGTTTAGCCTTTACAAGTATAGGCCTATATTTAAATGCCCTGTACAGCACAAAGTTCATCTAAACTAGTCACACATTTATTCTTCATTTATACATAAACTTTAATGTTTCGTTAAATGTTCAAAGTGCAGTTGAGATTTAGTAGATAACTGAAAGCTAATTTTGATGCGTAATGTCTGAATAAATTCTGTATATTTCTAAAATAATTTGAAACACATTTTCAAAAATTTAAGCCACTGATAATCAAATCTAATATGTACCCAAATTGATAATTTAACTACAAAAACAAAATACCGGTTAATAATAGATTATCTCTTGGCCTGGACTAAAAGATGTTATCCCAACAGTAGGTTTGTTTATACTCTCTGCAGAAGATGCCATATATTGCAAAATTTTCAATTCACCATATCTTTGTAAATTTTGGTATTGAACCAATTTTGGAACATTATTCCATTTAGAGATTAAATTGTGATGACATTGAAGTTTGCAAGCAGTTCATTACCCCCTCAAATGACAACCAGTGACTTTAACATCTTCCCACAAAATATATGAACAAAACAACAATAACCCTGCAATAAAACCGCCTATACAATGTCTTTAAAAATATGTATGGTATATAGAATTTCATCATTTCGTCAACATTTCATCTAAATATTTTGTATACATTTCATCTGAGGTTGATTTTGCTTTGATAGAAACAAAATATTACTTGAAAGACGAAATCATTTTATGATCTCATCCTGGTTGTACAGTATGACTCAGAAGTAGATATAACTGCTTGAGAGAGCCTGATATCTGGCCTAATTGATGATCACTTAGTTTATTTTCTCACACAGGTTACTCTCACGTCTATCCCTAGCTGATACCACTTTGTCAATAAGTATTATGTGAATAACTTACATTTCGCAAACTAAAAGTTGATGGGATTTGTCAATAAATGTTATGAAGGATTTTCCTGTGAGAAATCCGACTTTCGGTTGTGACTAATTAAATAATATAATAATGATGTTATTATAATCGGTAGGAAATAAATCTGACATGTACACCAATAGATACCAATTGATTTATTATTGTCTATTCTGTTTCCTTCCACAATTGTGGTTATAATAATATAATATCTATTATTATAAGACTTGGCCTACATGTTCTATATAATTAGAGGATATAACATATGATTAATTACATGTACATGGACTATAATTAGTAGATATAGCTAATTAGTCAAATTAATAATGTAATCTTTGAGTGGCATTTAGCCATCGGGGAACAGAACACAGTTTTTATTGGATATATAAAAATTGTGTTCTAATTAACTTAATAATGATGTTATTATATAAAGGCAGACAATATCTATGTCATATATAGGCTACACCAATAAAAAGCTATTGATTATTTAACTAGGTTGAAATTGTAGTTTTAATAATATCTATCTATGGGACTTACATAGTTAGGGTATATAACATATCATTAGTTATATGTGCTAATAACATATTAATTTTATGTATTTCAAGGTCTTGAATATAACCTACATGTACTTGTACATGTCTCTTTATTAGAATTTAAAGCTATTTTTTTGGCATTGAGTGGTTAGACAAGGCTAGTAAACTGACACAATTTTTTTTTAAAAGCTATAATCTTCATATTTAGTCTGTGTGTATATACAATCTGCATTAAAATAAGACAGACATTGAGGGACAAACAAATATAAGTTCATTCAAGAAAAATTAATTCAGCTTCATTCACAACATACATGTGTAATCCTAATAGGCTTAGCTGCATGTATATCACATAATAAATGGTGTTAATATCAATTTACATCTGATTAACAATCACAGTAACTGATTAATGTTAATATGAAATACACAAAAACTAATCAAGCAAGTATACACACAACACATGTATGGTATATCACACTAATTGGGTATTGTAATAAACATTTCTATATGGTATATCACTAATATACACTAATGGTGTGGTCTATTTATATTGTTTGTGAAGTTGTGAAATGATTGGAAAACTTTGAAATAACATGAATATAACCTCATGGATAAGTCACTGGTAATTTTCATACGTATTTTCTTGTCTTAATCAAGCCCAAGGTAACTGATAATAAGATATTAAAAAAAAAGCTAGGAGCGAACATTTAATTATAAAAAATAAATGAAGCCATAAAGATAAGAATTATATTCTGCTTTTGTGAGCACTCATAGAATATGATAGAATTACTCAGTATTCCTCATGAAGTCATCTGAATCCAATATTCTTCACATGCATGTAAATATAGAGATGATTCACACTCTCTGAACCACAGCCGTGCAATATAGCACTTATACCACATATACCTAGTTATCTATATCAGATATCATGTGTATTACTGGAAAATATAAGTAAATATATACTGTAATACATAGTTGTAGTTTACTTCATTCACACATGCAATATAGGTATAAACATTATGCAAGAGCTAAATCTGCCTACTGCACGTCTTTCTTTAGGCTTGAAAAGTTTTTTGAATTATTAATTAGACATCAATTAAATGATCCAGGCCATAATCAGCTCTCGATGTCATCAGAATTCTCCGATATTAAATACATTAGAAAAGTTCAGCCATATATTCATTTAAGCTAAAAATGGAGAACCGAGACTTAGCTTCGAACAACCAGTACGTTGGTTGAAATTATTGGACACGTCTTGTCGACCCTTCAAAATCTAATATCTTCACTTGCAATTGAGTGAAATTTTCAAATTATTCATTTTACATTATCTCTTTTCAAACTGTCATAGCAAGAATGGCTAGCTCTTTATCTAAATCTTACATAATGTATCTTTAATATTTGTTTGTATAATATTATTATTTGTTTATATTAAATATGTTGATTTGTTTATATTTTTCAGTATTAGTAACAGTTGACAATAATCCTGTTCGTTTACAACTTTGTGATACAGCTGGACAGGTGAGAATATATACTTTACCTTTTATCTTTCTACTGTTTGAATTCTGCTGTATTTTTCAGTCCTTCACGTTTAAAGGGAGCTTTTGCTCCTGTTCCTCTCGACGCACGTCGGCTTTCCTTCGAAGGAGTCATTAAAGACTTCTGCAAATTAGCTAAATCGCTCTCCTAAATATTGAGATTAATAAACTACTTTCAGTTTTTGTTAACGTTTAAACTGCATATATTCAAGGTATCAGGAGCTTTTTATGGCTCCCGCACAATTTTATAAACATGAAGGACTGATTTTTATTGTCATGGAGGAAAAACTTTAAAAAACAGTTTCTCGTATATTTATTGGGGTTGATTGTTCAATGTAATTATGGTTCTATAGTAAAAATTGATAACTTGCGTTTTTTCACTCCGATACTCCAGTTTCCACCCACTGCTAAAGATCCCTGTGTGTAAGCAGATTATTGAAATAAAGATAGGAATTTTTATTCAATGTAGGCCTAAAAATATTCATATTTGGGAAAGAATAATTTGTTTTGTGACTTTGTATAACGATGAAAAGACATGAAGGGATGTAAAGTTTTGTCAGATTTTGAAATACTGAAATTGACACAGTAAAATGATTGATACCAAACACAAATATTCAAGAGAGAAACGTCTGTTCAAATTTTGATATTTTTAAAAGTTGTTGGTCATAAATCCTGTCCAATAAGCTTTCTCTTTGACCTACATTACGAGTAGACGGACTTGAGGAAGTAATATAAAGGTGTTATATCCCGGGGCTTTGGCATGATTTGAATATTTTACACTGAGTCGAGATTTTTTTATTGATATGGGTTCTGTGGTTAGCATTCAGACCTTATAAGGAAGTAGTGTAAGGGTGTATTGTTGATATCAAACTGTGTGACGGATACACTATTAGCACTGTTTGTGAACTCAAATGGGGTTTAACATCATGCTGTTTTTGCACCAACTGTGTTAATGAAATCACAACGTGAGACACACATTCAAATATAAAATGTCAATTTCAAATTCAGTTTTGTATTTTATTGTTGATATGATATGTTAGCCATTTTTTGTTGTCATGGGTATATGACGTAACTAAACGTACACACTGAAAGTTAAATATAGTGTTTAAGACTGTTCACAGTTAACAGCCCATCCCAAAGCATTAACATTCAAAGGCAAAACTTCACTTTTGAATTTTGTTTGAATTTGATTGTTGATATCATACATACACAATCAGAAGAAGAGTCAACTGGCGTGGTTTCGATTCCCCGGTTGTAAGTGACAAGAATTGGGGTCACCTGTCCAACCTCGTAGGTTTTCTCCAGGTCCTCCGGTTTCCTCCCACTGCTAAAGACCCCTACACGGAAGCGAGTTATTGAAATAAAATTGAACCAAATGTTCGTCCCGTAATGACCTGGTTTGTGTCGAGTGGACGTTAAACCCCATCTCTCTCTCTCTCCAAACTACTACAATATAGACTTTAATACATAATCAAAAGAAGATTTAAAAAACCCAAAACATTTTGGTCCAGAAATTAATCATCTTTAATGTAGATATCAGACAAATAAAGAAATAACAAGTTGATTTTAGACTTGTCATGCGAACATGTTTGAATTTATATAAAGTTTAATTTTTAAAGCCCGAAAAATGACCTGCAATAGACAGATTTAGCTCTTACATAATGCATCTTTAAAATGTAGATCTATAAAATCATGTGTCAAGCAGACGGTATAAAATAGGGGTCAAATTGAACACAGTGGTTTTATTGTTTATATATGTATGTGGGACACCATCAATAAACCGTTGGCCTGGTCAGTAAGATAGTTACATATAGGCCTATGTATGTTATTGAAAGGATATAGTAAAGCCAGGTCAGTAAGATACATGTATTTTCTTGTCTTGTTAAAGTAGTTGAACCGTTGAATATTGAGTAATGGATATTACAACATCGGGGATTAAACGTTTAACCCGAAGGTCAACAATACAACATATATAATTAATCTGTATTTAAAGTAATCCATCAAAGTTCAGCATTAAATCTTCTTACTTACCTACTGTATGTAGAGGGAGAGTATGTTTATTATAGAGTTTAAGATCCTTTTGTTATAAGTAGTAGTAGCCTTCGTTTACTATATTATTTGTTTGTTTTTTGGGGGGGTGGGGGGAGGGGGGTTCTTCGATTATTTTTATTTATGGGGCTGTTGTAGTCTAAAGGTAAAGGGCACTGGACTTTTATAAGTACAGTTAGCTTTCATTTACTATTATATTTTTAGGCCTGTTGTGTGGGGGGATTCTTAGATTATTTAAGGGGCTACAGTATTTTACAGGTAACGGCACTAGGCTGTTGACCCGTTTACACCTGTTGACCCGTTTACACCTTGGTGTGCATGAAAAAAGAACTCTTGACAGTTGGAATTCGATTGTAGAACTGCTGTCAAGGCTAAATTCTACCTACATATATGACCTTTGAAAGCTGTGTGTTAGTCTAAAAAATGACCGAAGCATTGTGTTGCCGAGACGTTAAACTCATTTTCTGAGTTTACTTGTAAGGCATAAAAAATATAGTAATAGGACTTCTGGTGGAGTATTTGAGGAGAACGAAAACATAATGTTACAATTTTTTTGCTGTTAACCTTAAGTAATTGACATTCTTATCTTGAATGCTTTGATCTTGTCAAAAGTTTTTCTGCCTTCCATGTCCTTAAGACTAAGAGTTGAAAAGGAGTACGAAAAAAAACTTCAAGTAACATTACCAGAGGTTTTTATCTTGAATTTCAGCTGGTCTGTTTTGTATTTCTCATTAGTGGTACTTGTGAAATAAAAATTGACAATTATGCCACACAAAGAGTCTGATTTCGTTTAGGTAATCACTGATAGAACAAGAGTTTATTTGAATTACCTGGGTTAGACTGGGTGTTCGCTATGAACACATGGCTTCAATGAAATATAAACAACTCCCCGTTAGAGGTCTGATTATAATGAAAACCAATAGACAACCAAAAGAGCTCTAATTGTAATGAAAGTGTTTCTGTACACATGTCTAAACGATACTTGAGAAGCATTATAAACATATCAATCAAGACTATCAATAGTCTGGGTCAACAGGTTCTTTAATTGATTCACCTATAGAAACAATTGGATGTCATTATGGCCATGTTTGATTACTTGTTAAGAGAACCTAGGCACAGATTATTGGCTTTACTTCACACCATATATGAACTCGACATGAACTTTGAACCAAGGTTTGTCAAAAGATGATTGAAATTTAATCCAGGTATAATTCAGTATTTGATATGATTTGGGTTTTATTTGGTTGTACTGTGATATTTGTTCAAGATGGCCTGAATTACAATATCTAGTGACAGAAATATATCCTGTTGGATAGATGAATATATACATGTAGTCTAAAATACCAGAGGGGGGATTGGGTGGCTGAATGGCTTTACATGTGAGTGGTAGATCTCGACACAAGTTCGTCATTGAGTCAAGTGGCATGGTTTCAATTCTTCGCTTGTACGTGACAAGGAGTAGAGTCTCGTGTGTAATCTCGTGGGTTTTCTCCAGGCCCTCTAATTTCCTCCCACAGCTAATGACCCCCACTGACAAGCGAATTATTGAAATAAAATTGAACCTCTCTCTCTCTCTCTCTCTCTCTCTCTCTCCAAAATTCTAGACTCTTTTATGGAGGGATTTGGCAGGCGTTGACAGAATCAAAACAACCTTGAAAGAAGAGATGCTGACTGTTCGCGAAATATTCCATTCATTATATATATTTGTAAAATACTCAACGGAATAGAACAATTTTACTACGATATTCCTATAGGAGAGATTTGACATTAACAATATTGTCATTTGGAAGGGATTCAACATCCCTTAATTAACGATCAGTCGATTTATGGTTCCTTCTACCTGTTGATCAGGATTAACGCAACAATAATAAAGGTCAGCAATATGAAACATTAATCAGTTTCAGAAATGAGCAATGTGATTAGTCACATATATCTCATAATCAATATTGGGTTCCTGAATCACATACTCTCTCTTTCATTAGATGATTACTGGAAAATACATACAAAACTACTGTTACAAATGTAATTGGGAGAACTGATTGATCGAGCCGGTAAACTCATGCATATTAGATCATAAGGTCTGTCATTGAATCAAATGGTGTGGTTTCGATATGAAGCTTGTGCGCGACGAGGATTAGGTAGCCTGCCCAATCTTGCGGGTTTTCTCTTGGTCCTCAGGTTTCCTGGAGGGGTGGATGGCTGAATGGTTAGCACATGCGCGCTGTATCATAAAGTCTGTCATTGAGTCATCTGGCGGGGTTTCGAATCCCCGGTTGTACGTGACAAGGAGTAGGGTCGCCTGTCCAACCTTGTGCGTTTTCTCCGGGTGCGTTTTCTCCGGGTCCTCCGGTTTCCTCCCATTGCTAAAGACCCCTACACGCAAGCAAATTATTGAAATAAAATTAAAACCATATGTTAGTCCCGAAATGACCTAGTTTGTGTCGAGTGGACGTTAAACCCAATTTCTCTCTCTCTATCTCCCAGGTTTCCTCACATGTGCAAGCGAATTAATGAAAACAATTTGTATAGATGTAAGCTTATGTTAATCTGAAAATGACAGAGTTTGTTTTGAGTGGACATTAAACCACATTTCTCTCTTTTTCTTACAAATGTAATTTCAAAAAGCAGAAGCACAAATGACAAAAGAAAAAAAAATCCATTGGATGATGTATTTTGAAATTCATACAAAAGCGAGTGGAATATGCCCATATATGATTATTCTTCTCACAATGTGATATTAGTTACTGGTATTTGAATGAAGACATTTAATCTCAGAATTTAGGAGAAATTTTAGAGATATCAGTTCTTGTCCCACGCTGACTATAAATGTCAACTGAAATTAAATATTGTCGATTTCGTAATTAGTTTCCCCAGGAACAGATCTTTAACCAATTTAATATCAGCAAGCAGCACAGCTAAAAAATCGAACTAATG